TAACAAAAGTGCAAAGGAAATACAGAGGGAGAGAAGTGAGAGATTGGAAGCAGCGGGCACATCAAGAAGAAACGAACCCTTGCCTCCCTCATCCCCATCTTGACTCCAGCGCTCCTGGTCCAAGCCACCAGCATCTCACAGTTGGGCCAGGGCTCTATGGTCCTCTCTTGGGCTCCCTTCACACTTTCTCCCCCAGAGGAGGGAGAGGGATGTCAGAGCACAAATTAGATGATGTATTTGCTGCTTAAATACCTGGCAAGCCTTTTTTTTTCTTACCGTCCTTAAAAGACAAAAGCTGTAACTGGCCCACCACATGGTGGAGGATTTGGCCTCTCCTACCTGTGGGTGCTCCCTGGCCTCAGCGTGATCCAGCCCTGGAGGGCTGTGAGCAGACTGCTTTCCACCCTGGGACACTTCAGTCCCTGCCCCTACAGTCTGATAGGGGAATGGACCTGAGTCGAGCATATCACACAAGCAGGCATCCAACTGGCCCTGCTGCTGTGAGTGACGGGGCTGCAGTGCCTGGAGCCTGCAGCAGGGGGATCTGGCTCATAGCAGAGACCAGTGAATGAATTCTTGACAAAGTTGCTCTTGAATGGAGCATTGGAGGATGAGGAATTAACTAAATGTAAAGAAGACAGGAATAAAGAACAGCCGTACAAATGCCCTGGGGTGGTGTGAGCTGGGCCACATGGGGAGAAGAGTGGGGGTGAGGGGGTAGGTGACACCGTGCCAGAGCTGAAAAGCAAGGAGTTTGGATTTTATTCAGAGGCTGAGGGGAAGCTCGTGGAGAGGGTTAAGCAAGGGACTAACTGATGAGATGGGCCATTTGAGAAGATTGCTCTGGCTGAAGTCTCAATATTTGTAAATAATTTTTCCCAGTATTACAGCAGTTGTAGCTCTTGAAATTTACAGAGAGGCCAGAAAGAGTCTGAGATCCCACCCTTGTCAAAGGGGGAGATGCTGGTGGCTCAGACTGATAACAGGGGACAGAGATACTGAATGGTTGGCAAGCTAATTGAACTTGTGTGGGGGTAAAGCACGATTGTATTCCAGTTTCTTTTTCTTTTGTGGGGGCAAGAACAGATCCTCACTCTGTCACCCTAGGTATAGTGTATTGGCATCATAGCTCACAACAACCTCAAATTCTTGGGCTTGAGAGACCCTTTCGTACCAGCCTCCCAAGTACCTGGGACTATAGGTGCCCACCACAATGTCCGGAACATTTTTTTTTTTTTTTTTTTT